CCATATTTCTGCAATTGTGAATTATGCTGCTGTAAACATGGCTGTACATGTATCTTTTTCGTATAATGACTTCTTTTCCTCTGGGTAGATAGCCAGGAGCGGGATTACTGGATTAAATGGTAGATCTACTTTTAGCTCTTTAAGGAATGTCCATACTGCTTTCTATAGTGGTTGTACTAGTTTACATTCCCACTAATAGTATACAAGGGTTCCCTTTTCACTACATCCACATCAACATCTGTTGTTTTACCTTTATTTTATGCAAAGAGAAAAGTCAAGAGAGCATCATGTTGGGCACTTCCGCTGCTATTCAGCAGCAGTGCTTGGTGCTTGGAGAGAGACACTCGAGTTTGGGTAGACGTCTGGGAGATTCACCTGATCTCCAAAGACCCCGGTTATGTCGTGTTGGGCGGTGGATCCTGAATCCACCCAGAGAAGCCTGATACCAATAACATCCCCTCTTGTGTTCCAGGAGCCCCTTGGTCTTCACGTCTTTGGTGTGTGCACTCTTGAACATGTGCCAGGCACACAGGGTGCATGACGACAAGCCTAATATTGTCTTGATTATGGCCGATGACCTGGGTATTGGAGATCTGGGCTGCTACGGCAATAACACCATCAGGTATGGCGGGTTCATGGCAAGTCATACGCTCATCAGTTGTTCAGGGTCGGCAGGCTGACAAATTGTACGACTGCATCTATGTACAAAACCAAATGGATTTGTTGGGATTTTTTTGTTGTTGTTACTTTAAAGTTTCTGATAGTTTAAAATTATTTAGATTATTTGTCTTACAATTACATTTTCAATAATTTTAATTTGAATCTTCTTCAGTTTTTAAACTTAAGAAGTAATAATTGTCCATCTTCACAGGGCACACGGTGAAGTTTGGATACATACAATGTATAGTGATCAGATCAGGGTAATCAACATATCCAGTGTCTCTAGCATGAACTAGGATGGTCATAGTAAAAGCATGGCTGTCTGGACCCCAGTCCTGACTCTGCACTTACTAGCTCTAAAGTCTTGGAGAAGTCACTGAACTTCTCTGTGCCTTAGTTTCCTTATTTGTCGAATGCAGAGAAGAGTTTATACCCCTGAGTTTATATACGTAAAGAACTTAGAATAGTACCTAACACACAACTACCCTTGATCCTACAGTCTATTATGAAGCATGATGATTTGTGTATACATGTATATATACAGATATGAACATATAAATGTAATTATAGAAATATATGTGATATATTTCATATATGAATATAAAATCACATGAATATAATTGTACAAAATAAAATCATATAAAATATAAATATAATCATATAAAATATAATGATATAAATGTAATTATATTTATGTATATTTACATTTTTGTATTTATATAGACATTTATATATGTATCTGTGGGTATATAATGAATATATATGAATATATTCTATGATATATAAAATATATATTATACATTTATTGTATTATATATCCATATATTATGAATATATGTTCAATATATAAACATGAATATATTTATAATATAGAAATATATAGTATATATTACAAATATATATTAATGTTATTCATATATACATGAATATATACATATATATGTCTGTGAGTATATATTCATTTATATATAAATATAAATTTATATACCTTTATATGTATTTAAATAAATATATAAATATATTTATATATTCTATACAAATATATGTAAATAAATATTTGTAAATATATTTATATATTTTACACAAATACATATTTATATAAAATGAATATTCATACCTATTCATAATATATAAAAGTATATATTATAAATATATATTCATTATGTATATATATTCATATTCATAATCTATAAATGTTTATACATAAACATATATTCATAAATGTGTATAAATTTAGAAATATATAAATGTGAATATGTATATTCAGTAGAATTCATCATTCTGTTTCCTAATTTTGGGAGGCAACAGATCCTCTAAGGTGATAAGCTTATATTTTTAACAATGGGCATTCTGAAAGAAGAAAAACAGATATGAAACAAAAACTCAGAGCTTTGTGGTGGATGGAAGCCATCTATATTAGCCGTGCTTAAACTGAGCTTAGGAGTACGTCATCACGAGGCGTACGTCATACACTTTGAAGATCATTATGTTGTCTGACTAATAGATGCTGAAGGTAGTCATCGCAGTTTTCGACAACAGAGCTAGGAGTCAAAAGCCGTCACCAAAAATTAACCATTGCTTATGAAAAAAGAAGGGAGGAGTCACCCAAAAGCATAGAAACGGTGTCCATAAATAGCAGATACTTATAGAGAGGATGTTGGCGTGGGGTACCGGTGTTTTCTGAAAACATTAGCAATTAGAGAAGTGAGATTATAATGTAAAATCTAAAACCAGGCACATGTGCCCCAGGAATGCAGTTTACAATTTTTTTTTCTTTGCAAAATAAATAATGGTTTAAGAGTCGGTAGGTGATTTCCATATCTGGAAAAAAAAATAGATAAACGCCTTGGTAAAGCTGGAAATTCTTCTTGCACCACTTACCTGTTCAAGAAGAATTTCTAGCTCTACCAACGCGTTTATCTATTTTTTTCTCTCATGAATAAATAATGAATTTATTTATTCATTTATTCTCTCATGAATGAATAAATAATTTCTCTCATGAATACATGTAGAATTCATCACATTTTATTTTCATCCAAGAGGTGACTGATTCTTTTTCCAGAAGTCTCTGTAGCCTCCAGAAATCTCCTGTTAAATTATTTTTAAATGGACGAATTATAGTTGCGTGTATTTATGGTGTACATCATGATGTTTTGATTCCTGTATCCATTGTGGAACAGCTAAATCAAGCTAATGGACATGCACAGCCTCACATACTTATTTATATGTAGTGAGAGTGGTTAGAATTATGGCAATTTGAAGAATAGAATACATTGTTGTATCTGCAACAGATCTCTTAAATGTATTCCTCTATGTGGGGAATAGATCAAGTGGAGGATTCATTCACATTTGGCTATACGAACCGTGGTATCCTTTAACCTACCTGTTCTCAACCCTCACCCTCGCCCCTGATGCCCACCATTCTACTGTCTACTTCTGAGTTTGATATTTTTTGACTCCACACATAAGTGAGATCATGCAGTATTTGTCTTTCTGTGCTTGGCCCATTTCATTTAATCTAATACCCTTCCAGTTCATCTGTGTTTTTGAAAATGATGGGATTTCCTTCTTTTGAATATTTAATCATATGACACTTCTGCAGCCTGTGTAGACTGCAGGGGAATGTATCTATCAAACAGCTGGGTGGGTAGACCGCATCCCTAGGTCTGTAAGTAGTTAGGCATAAGTAAGGTCTGTAAGCAATTAGCGTCGATGAATCAGACCCCAATCTCTTAAGCATTTTATTTTGTAAGGCTGCAGTACAGTGAATAGACACCATATAGCAGCACCCAAGTATACCAAGCCTGCAAAACAACAGCTCTCTGCAATCCTGGTCCCATTTCACCTTGACACGGGCAACAAAGAAAAAGGAGCTCTGTGTGCAGCTACCTGCTCTGGGCACCTGGAAATCACGATGAACAGAGATGTTGTTTATCTTCAGGTCTCTCTCTCCTCTCTCTGTCTTGCCATCTCTCTCTCTGTCTGTCTCTGTCTCCCCACCCCCGTCTGCTTGTCTCTCTTTCTATCTCTGTCTCTGTTTGTCTCTCTCTTTCTATCTTCTTCTCTCTCTCCATCTCTCTCTTTCTGTGTCTCTCACTCTGTCTTACTCTGTCTGTTTCTCTCTTTNAGAAAAAGGAGCTCTGTGTGCAGCTACCTGCTCTGGGCACCTGGAAATCACGATGAACAGAGATGTTGTTTATCTTCAGGTCTCTCTCTCCTCTCCTTCTGTCTCCCTATCTCTCTTTGTCTATCTCACTCTATCCATTTCTTTCTCTCTCCCTCTCTTTTTCCATCTCTCTCTGTTTGTCTCTCTCTTTCTATCTTCTTCTCTCTCTCCATCTCTCTCTTTCTGTGTCTCTCACTCTGTCTTACTCTGTCTGTTTCTCTCTTTTCATCCCTCTCTTTCTGTTTGTCTGTCTCCCCTCATCTGTCTGTCTCTTTTTCCAACTCTTTCTGTTTCTCCCTCCCTCCCTCCCTCTCTTTATCCTTCTTTCCATTTCTTTCTGTCTCTGTCCGTCTCTTTCTCAATCTCTGTCTCCTTCCATCTCTCTCTTTGTTTCTGTCTCTTCCTCTCTCTCTTTCTGTTTGTCCCTCTCTGTCTTCCTCTGTCTTCCTCTTTCTCTGTCTCTCTTTAATCTCATTCTGTCTATCTCTCTGCCTCCCTTTCTCTTTCTCTCACCCTCTCTCTCTTTCTGTCTCTCTCTCCTCTCTCTCTTTCCATCTCTCTCTGTTTCTCTCTGTGTCTTACTGTCTCTTTCTGCCTCTTTTCATCTCTCTCTTTCTGTCTGTCTCTCTCTCTCTTTCATCCTTTCTTTCTGTCCATGTCTCTCTCTGCCTCACTTTCTGTCCCTGTCCCTGTCTCTGTCTGTCTCTCCTCTGTTTCCACCTCTGACTTTCTGTGTGTCCCTCTGTCTTTCTCTTGCTCTTCTCTGCTTTCCCCCCCTTCTCTACCTTTTCCTTCTCTCCAATACACCTTCTCTCTCCCCCTTCAGGACACCTCACATCGACCGCCTTGCCAGGGAAGGAGCACAGCTAACTCAGCACCTTTCGGCTGCCTCCCTCTGCAGCCCAAGCCGGTCCGCGTTTCTGACGGGAAGGTACCCCATCCGATCAGGTGCGCAAACTGGAGGCTCTGCTGGACTCTGCCCTCATGTTAGGATGTGAGGAAATAAAAATGTGGCTTGACTACCTTAACAAGTAAAAAAGAACTGGGCACGATGGCTCACACCTGTAATCCCAGAACTTCAGGAGGCCAAGGCAGGAGGATCACTTGAGCGCAGGAGTTTAAGACCAGCCTGGGCAACAGAGCAACACCCCATCTCCACAAATCTTTTTTGTAATTAACTAAGCATAGTCACATATGCCTGTGGTCCTGGCTACTTGGGAGGCTGAAGTGGGAGGATCACTTGAGTCTAGGAGTTTCAGGCTGCAGTGAGCCATGATCACACCATTGCACTCTAGCCTCGTTGACAGAGTATGTCTTAGAAAGAAAAAAAAAAGGTACAAAGGAAAGGAAAAAAGCACACATGAGCATAGATGCACTGACATGCACAACTACCACCATCCACATCAAAATCACTGTGCTTCAAATAGATGCGATGCCACCGTGTGTGACTGAGTTGTCTTCTGACTCAATGACAGCCTTTTATCTGAATTCCAAGTCACTGGGCATATGTTTGTGTTTCCCAGGTCAACAAAGAGACGCTCTCTTGGAATGAAGTAGTTACCACAACATGTGTTTACACATGCAGTCCCTCACCACAAAATATCTTTTTTCCTTTCTTTCAAACCACTAAGTCATAATCCAGGAAATAGCTATCAGATTTTGGACAACTTTTATCATAGCAGTTTACTCATGGAGAGAGTAGGATTATTGTCTTGCTCAATTTATATCAATTTCATTTCATTTATTTATTATTATTATTATTTGAGACAAAGTCTTGTTCTGTTCAGGCTGGAGTGCAGTGATGCGATCTTGGCTCACCGCAACCTCCACCTCCCAGGTTCAAGCAATTCTCCTGCCTCAGTCTCCCAAGTAGCTGGGATTACAGGCATGCGCCACCAAGCCTGGCTAATTTTGTAGTTTTAGTAGAGACAGGGTTTCACCATATTGGCCAGTCTGATCTCGAACTCCTGAGTTCAGGTGATCCACCCGCCTTGGCGTCCCACAGTGCTGGGATTGCAGGTGTGAGTCACCACTTCCACCCATATGGTTCTATTTTTAAAGGTGAGGGAAGTGGGCTGGGGGCACAGTGGTTCCCACCTGTAATCCCAGCATTTTGGGAAGCCGAGGAGGGAAGATAACTTCAGGTCAGGAGTTCGAGACCAGCCTGGCCAACATGGTGAAACCCCATATCTAATAAAAATGCAAAATGAGCCAGGCATGGTAGCTCACACCTGTAATCCCAGCTATTTGGGAGGCTGAGGCAGGAGAATCATTTGAACCTGGGAGGTGGAGGTTACAGTGAGCCAAGATTGTGCCACTGCACTCCAG